CCCTCCCGCCCCCGCCGGCCAGGTGGGGCCGGGGGCTGGGGGTGCTGGGTGGGGGGGGGGGGGGGGGGGGGGGGGGGTTCCACTGTGCCTGTTCTGTAATTTCATTGGTCAGATTTTTTTTAACCTCTATTCATACAGGTAGTTTCATTGAGCCACTATGCCCCCCGCCCCCCAGGAGAGACATGTACTGAGCAGCTCTGTTAGCACCCGGGCGTGACGAGGCTAAATGCTTAGGGCGGCAGGAAGTTCGTTAGCCCGTCAAAATAAAAATCCATAAATTGTCCGCAGCATCGTGTAAACCACGGTTCAACGCCTGTAGAAAAAGGAGTGGCTTATAGACCAGAAACTACGGTAAACCCGATAAGACTCCGCCTCCTGCCGCTCTGACCTCGGTCTGTGAGCCGACTGGAAAATAACGAGCTGGAAGGGACGCTAACGAGGTAACCTGAATATTTAACGATCAGTTTAAAACGGTGTCATGACGACGGAGCCTTCTGACCAAGTTTTAGACCGTCTGGACCGGGACTGCAGACAGGGCGGTAAGACTACCAGAGAATGCTGAGAGACTGTTTAAACCAGAATGTCTGCCGAGGCGGTAAGACATCAGCAATGACAGAGAACCAATCATTGCTGCCTTTGAAGAACAGTTTCACTTTACATGTAAGAAAACTCCGATTCAGTTTATTTTACTGTCCTGGTTTCTGTACCGACCCCTAAAGCCCGACCCGGTCGTAGGTCCAGCAGAACCCCCAGCCCCTGCTGTAGCTGCTGGTTGTAATCTGTGCTCCCTCTGGTCTCCCCCTCTCACAGTCCTCCTGTTCATCTCAGGAGAAGCTGCACCAGCTGCCCTTCCAGCCCACCCCCGACGAGCTGCACTTCCTCACCAAGCACTTCAGCTCCGAGAGCATCACGGACGAGGAGGGCCGCCGCTCCCCCGCCATGAGACCGCGCTCCCGCAGCCTCAGGTAGGAGCTCCGAGTCCGGACCGAAGCGTCTTTTCAGTGGTCCAGGTCAGAAAATACTGAGATCGACCTGAATGTGTTAGCACAACGCCAGGCGGAAAGACATCAGCAATGACGTTAGAGAAGCAGTTACTACTCGTCAATCTGGGAAGGGTCAAAGGTCATTTAGACTCCATCGTTCTACAGAGAGAAAGATTCTTCACAAGAGGAGAACATTTAGCACATCTTCCAACAGATTCACCCTGAAGGTCAGACCGTGCAGTGACTCTGCAGGCCTCAGTCAGCAGGTCAAAGGTCATGACCTCATGAGCCTTTGGAGCCTCAGCCCAGGTTGCCAGCTCCTGGACCTGGTACCTCAAAACTAAAGACTCAGTACTTGGTCCCGGTCTCTAAAGTGTAGCGGATCAGGTCTTTAAAGACCCGATCCAGCAGACCTGGTCTTTAAAGACCCGATCCAACAGACCTGGTCTTTAAAGACCCGATCCAGCAGACCTGGTCTTTAAAGATCCGATCCAGCAGACCAAGTTCAGCATCAGGTTTAAGTGAATCAGAATCAAAAACACGATTTAGTGACGTCAGAGTTTTATTAAAGACGACCAAAGTTTTTATTTTCATCAGCTGACACTTTGATCTCAGTGAGGTCATCCTCCCTCCTCCTTCTCCACCTCCTCTTCCCTCCACCTCCTCCTTCTCCACCTCCTCCTTCCTCCTCCTCTTCCCTCCTCCTCCTCCCTCCTCCTCCTCCCTCATCTTGGCTGATTTCCTCCAAATAGCCTCTCCACCAATCAGAGCTCAGCTCAGACGGGTTCTACACTCGTCTTCATCTCTGACTGTTTGTCTTCGTCCTGGTTCTGATCCGCTCCCAGGACCCACAGAGTAATGCAGCGAAAGCCCTGACATCTTCTGAATCTCTAACGAAACCTTGTTTCTTTGGTTCTGACCCGCAAAGTATCAGCAGCAGAAACTCCTGTTTGTCTCTGGCTAACGTCTGAAAACAAATGAAAATGAAGAAAGTGTCATAAATATTCAATTTTACTTTTAATTTTGTTTCTGAAAATTAAATCAAGACCCAGACTCAGCGTTTTGTGACCCGCAGGGGGGCCCGGACCCACACTTTGAGAACCATTGAGTGAAACTTTTCCTCTGGTTGAACCAAAGTAGAAACTTGTTCCTGTTTGAGACACGACTTCAGGAAGAGCAACAAAAATTAGATTTATTTCTGAAGATTTAATTAAAGATGAAAGTCTTCAAGCTGCAGGATCAATAAAGTTCATCATCAGAGGAAACAAGCTGTAAACAAAGAAGCCACAGTGTGGCAGGATGTGTTGTTGTTGTTGTTGTTGTTGTTGTTGTATCTGCTTTTATCCTGTGACAAAGTGCGAGACGTTTAGCTCATCAGTCACGTTTCAGTTCAGCAGGTAACCGATGACTCAAAGCATGACATCATCACATTGGTCATGCGTGTGTGTGTGTGTGCATGTGTGTGTGTGTGTGTGTGTATGTGCGTGAGTGTGACACACTGGTTTAGTCTGCTGCTAAAAAAATTACTAATAAAATTATTTTTCTACCATTATTTTTTACTTCATGAAAATCTAATTAGTTTTTTATATTATTTATATTTCTTTTTAAATCCAAATAATTTTAGCACCTTTTCATAGTAACTCTAGTTGGTTGGATGATTGTTGGATGGAAGGATGAATGTTGGATGGCTGGTTGGTTGGATGGATGATGTTGGTTGGATGGATGATTGTTGGTTGGATGATTGTTGGATGGATGATTGTAGAATGTTGGATGATTGTTTGTTGGATGGATGATTGATTGTTGGATGGATGAGTGTTGTTTGGATGGATGAATGTTGGTTGGTTGGATGGATGGATGATTGTTGTTTGGATGGATGGATGATTGTTGGATAGTTGGATGATTTTTGGATGAATGATTGTTGTATGGTTGGATGAATGTTGGTTGGTTGGTTGGTTGGATGGATGGATGATTGTTGAATGATTGTTGTTTGGATGGATGGATGATTGTTGGATGGATGATTGTTGTTTGGATGGATGAATGTTGGTTGGTTGGATGGATGGATGGATGATTGTTGGATGATTGTTGTTTGGATGGATGGATGATTGTTGTATAGTTGGATGATTGTTGGATGGATGATTGTTGTATGGTTGGATGATTGTTGGATGGATGATTGTTCAATGGATGATTGTTGGATGATAATTGAATGGATGATTGTTGTATGGTTGGATGATTGTTGGATGGATGGATGATTGTTGGATGATTATTGAATGGATGATTGTTGTATGGTTGGATGATTGTTGGTTGGATGTCAGTCAGTTAGCATGACCCACAGTGGGGTCATGACCCTGGCGTTGGGCACCACCTCCTGAGGGCGGCCATCTTTAAAGGTGCTCTTTGTGCTGCAGCTCACGGTTCTCTGTGTTCTGGTTTCAGTCCTGGACGCTCCCCCGTCTCCTTCGACCACGAGATCATGATGATGAACCACGTCTACAAGGAGCGCTTCCCCAAGGTCTGTGTGGGACATGTCTACTTCCTGGAGGGACAATGGATGTCTCACTCTTTGACACTTAGCTTACTCACAAAACGTCCTGAAACTGAGGCCTCGTGGGTCTTCTGGACCTCAGGGCAGCAGCAGGGTTCATTTAGAGTGTAAGCTCTGTAAGACTCCACCTTTACCCTGCTGCTGCCCCGCGGTCAGAATAACCACTGATGTCCATTTGACCACAGGGCAGCAGCAGGGTCACACAAAGAAAAGACCAGGAAGTGTTTTTCTGTTTGTAGGAAGTTTTTGTTGATTCAGTTTTCGAGGGTCTTTGTGGGTCTCTGGCTCTGAATCGTCCCGCCTGTCTTCCTGGTGTCCCCACTCAGGCCACGGCTCAGATGGAGGAGCGTCTGGCGGACCTGCTCGCCTCCTCGGACCCGGACAAGGTCCACCCGCTGGCCGATGGGGTCCTGAGCTTCATCCACCACCAGCTGATGGAGCTGTCCCGGGACTGCCTGGAGAAAAGCCGCGCGGGCCTCATCACGTCGCGCTACTTCTACGAGCTGCAGGAGAACCTGGAGAAGCTGCTGCAGGACGTGAGTCCACACAGAACCTGACCAGAACCTGAGGCAGCCGGAGGGTTCAGTCCACACCCGGGCCCGGCACAGAACCTGACCAGAACCGGAGGCAGCCGGAGGGTTCAGTCCACACCCGGGCCCGGCACAGAACCTGACCAGAACCTGAGGCAGCCGGAGGGTTCAGTCCACACCCGGGCCCGGCACAGAACCTGACCAGAACCGGAGGCAGCCGGAGGGTTCAGTCCAATCAAACAGATCTAATAATTAATTAGAATAAGAAATAAACTAATTTTATTAGATCAAATAAAATGTTGACTTCATCTCAAATCAGAGGCTTCAGCAGAATAATTTTATATTAAAAAGAGAAGTGATAAATAAATTAACTACTTTAAACTTTTTCACTCATGGATAGAAATAAATACTTGAATCAGTAAATATAAAATTAGTTGTGTTAATAATGCAACTATAACTTTTTTTTATTTTTATAAATCGTCAGGATAAAAACTTTGCTCAGAAAATATAATAAATTATAAGAAAATAAACATTAATATGATTTTAAAATACTGATCTTTGTTGTTTATATCTTTAGACGTGTTAACGTGTTAACTTTATTTATTTTCAAGTTTAGCATCATTTCAAATCAACAATAAGGTGCTTTATTTAAACTACGACCATCATTTAAGTATTAACATAAAAAGTGTGAAATGATAGCATTCAATGAGTCAAAGTGGGCGGAGCTTCTTTAATTAGTCATCAATTAAAGAACGTCTGAGGTTTTATTTACGTTCGTTAACGGACCAGAAAACGAGTCCCGCTCAGCCGTCCCCGGCGTCCCGCTCCCAGCGCCGCATGATGTCATCGAGGGTCCGATACCACAGCGGCCATCTTGTTCTGTCAGACACCACGCCGTGACATCATCATGTCATGACCGGACCGGTTCTGAGTGTTCAGGCTGTGAACAGACTAGAGTCCGGCGGCTCCGTTGGATCCGCTTCTGTGTACCTGCAGGGAAACAATATGGCTGCCGGCGGCATCTTAACACACACACACACACACACTCACACACACACACACACTCACACACACACACACACACACACACACACACACACACAACCTCCTGATTTTAATTTCACGCTCCAGCGATCGCCCGGGGCTGATGGATGACTCCCTCTTAGACAAGCAAGAGGCGGAGTCAGAGGAGTGGGCGGGGTTTCAGCTGGATTCTTTTACATGTGATTGGCCGGTGACGGGCTCGAGGAGGAGGAGGATGAAGAGTATTTGAAAGCTCCTGGAGTCAGGTGGAGCACAGCTGGTGGTCCCGCTGCGTGGCATCCTGGACGATGACATCATCATCAGCCTCTTGGCGTTATTGTCCTTAAAGCAGGGAGGGAACCGGGTCGCAGCAGCCGGACCGGACCGGGCCGTCCTCCCTGCAGCGTTGGAAAAATGTTTAACCACTCGTGGCAGAGGAGGCTGGAGGAGGAGGTGCTGAGGGAGGTGATGAGGAGGAGCGAGGGGAAGGAGCTGACCCACATCTGGAAGGAGGTGAAGTTCATTTTCTGCTCGAGTCCTGATCAGTCGGACTCGGGGGCACGATGACCCACGCTGGGTTCACCTGTAGATCAGGTTCGGGTTGAGGGGAACCTGCAGATGTTTCTCCCTGAAGATCTGCAGCTGCTCGTGACCAGAGTCTGGTTTGTTTGTTTGTTTGTTTGTTTGTTGTGTTTTTTTTTATGTTCCTGAAGTTCCACTTGATTGAACCGGTTCCTCTTGAGCTGCTGGAAGTTTAAATTCAGCCCAGATTAAATGTTGTTTGTTTGTTTGTTTGTTTACAACGACGTCATCTTTTGTTGTTCACACGAGTCTCAGAAACAAAATATTTGTTTTGAAACAAAAAATCCTAAAATAAGAGTTTTTAAAAATCCAGAGTTAGAAACTTTTCATGGAAATTAATGGGGACAGAAACTTGTCAATCACCTGGACATGCAGAGGGGACATGTGGACAGATGGGACATGTATGGACAGATGGGACATTTATGGATAGATGGGACGTGGGAACAGATGGGACATGAAGACACAGATGGGACATGAAGACACAGATGGGACATGCAGAGACAGATGGGACATGCAGAGACAGATGGAACATGCAGAGACAGATGGGACATGCGGGACAGATGGAATATGTGTAGACAGATGGGACATGCAGAGACAGATGGGATATGGGACAT